CCACGATGACCGCCTGTTGGGGCATCGTGACACTCATACATGATGCGTAAACGCAGATCATGATGAGCGGGTACGACGACACGAGGCTTGTCGTCGGCAACAGCTGTATAGTACAGCAGTCCGTTGCGTGTACTATACCGATCCGATGAGAATCGGTACAAAGCCGGTAAATCCCTCATGGATTTACTGGATGGATTCACCAGATGATCCATCAATCGCATAAGAATCCTTATCTTCTGCGTATGCCTTTCGTACGTCGTCAAGTAAACTTGACGATGGGACACTGACTGACAGTGTCGCAACAGTGGGCTTATCCTCACTGTTGATTTGTGCGTCCGGCTCGAAATCGGGCCGGCGCGAAAGCGCATCAGCGACGACATTGAGTCGTCCTGGTTTATACTCCACGGAGAAGTTATACTCCGAGAAGAAAGACAGCCACCTCGCCATCCTTTGCGAGAATTGTGGACGGTTTACGGCCGTGCGTAATGACGCATAGTCCGTATAGACGATGAAAGGTCTATTTCCCAAGAGATAGACGCGAAACTTAGCCAGTGCGTAATTCATGGCAAGGCGTTCCTTGTCATACACTGGGTAATTGCGCTCAGCTGCTTGCAGCTGACGCGACTGATAACAGACGACGCGCTCTGTGCCGTCTGCATCGAACTGAATTAACGCACAGCCGATAGCAAAATAGCTGGCGTCACAGACCACGTGAAACGGTCTGTCCTGATCTGCAATCGCCAAGATCGGCGATTGCATCAAGCTTTGCTTGATACCTTCAAAGGAGCGCTGGAAATTAGCGCTCCATGATCACTTGACATTTTTCTTGAGCAGACAAGAAAGATGAACAGTCATCTCGGCCTAGTTGCGCGAGTACTTGTGCAAGTACGCCGCAAGACCAAGGAACTTCCTTAGTCCCTTGACATCGACTGGCACTGGCCAGTCGGTGATCGCCTTGATCTTTTCGGGATCAGGGCGTACGCCGTGTTTACCCACGATGCACCCAAGAAGTGGTATTTCGCTAGCCGCGAATATACACTTCTTGAGGTTGGCGTACAACTTATACTTGCGCATAAGTTGAAGAACCTGACGAACGTGAGTTCTGTGAACTTCAACGTCCGTCTTTCCGTCCATAGCCCGGCTATGGACGAACACATCGTCGAAGTAACTCGGTGCGAAATCCCGCACCGGTCTCAACAGATTTGTAACGCATCTGTTGAATGTTGCAGGGGCATTAATTAGGCCCTGTGGCATAACTAGCCACTCCCACAGCATACCGCTGGGGGTGCTCACTGCCGTGAACGGGACGTCCCGTTCACGCATCAGGATCTGATAGAATCCATCCATCAGATCCATGGACGAAAAGATGGTACTCTTTGACATACCATCTATGATTACGTCCTTCCTCGGTATCGGCGTCTGAGCCGGTACCGTTGCAGCATTCAACTTGTTGAATGCGTGCACTATCCGCCACCCTCCTGTGGCCTTTCGCACACAGAAGGTCCGAGAGCTGTGAGGGGATGTTGATTCCCTCACATGGCCCACTGCTAAGCGATCGGCAAAGAACTTGTCGATCGCTAGTACTTGTTCACGAGGCAGTGGCCACTGCTTCATGACACAGTACTTCGAGCCCGGTTTGAGCTCGATCTCGTGTCGAGTGCCTTTGTCCTTAGGCAACTCGCAAGGTACGGATTCAGGGAACACATCCATGAATTCGATCAAATCCTTATACAAAGGATTTGCCTGAAGTGACTCCCAGTATTGAGACGTGTATCTCTCAATCCGAGTCTTCTCATCGAGGACACTTTCGTCCATCGATGAGCTGCTAAGAACCCGTTCGTTCTCAGCAAATACTGTTGCCGACCGAATGTCGGTCACATACTTATCCTCTGTGACGAGTATGCAGATCTGCTTGACTTTACCACTACGCAGATCACGCAAGAACCGTTTCGGTTCTAGCGTTGGCAACTGAGTTATCTCCGAATTCAACTTCGGAGGCACAATCAGATCAAGCGTATTAGCGCCTACGCTTGATCCGTCATTAACCAAGACGCTCAACGTCTCGGTTTCTTCCTATAAACTTGCTTCCACAGGTTGCTGAGGGCCTGATCCCTCAGCAAGCGACTCTTGAGGAATTCCTTCCTCAAGTACGTGGGGACTTATTCCCTCGACGTCTTCTGACTGTGGCTGTGCAACCACAGTCAGGCACCGATCCTCTACGGTCGACTCTCCAGTCGACCTAGGATTTTCGTGTTGCCGCTTGTGGGCAACCGGTTTCTTTTCTCTAAGATGCTGCCCGCTAGGCATGCATCCATGTCCCGGTCCGCTCGACTTATTCGAGTGGTGGACCTTCGGCGCAGCCTGTACTTCTGTACAGCCGCTGGGAGCTTGCTCCACAGTGTAGTGATCAACTACACTGTGATCTTGTTCAGTCGTGCTAACGACCATACCGCAAGTGAGGTCATCGCACTCACTCGCAGAACATCCACACGCTTGTGGACGCTCCAAGATGTTCATCAGATGGCCATCTGATGAACAAGCGGCAGGCATCTTCACGGATCGATGCTGCCAGCTCACCCTTGGCTCGTATTTACTGAGCCGAGGTAATCCCAGGATGACATCAAATTTGTCATCCAGATCTAGTACGATGAAATCATCATCGTACTGTTCGCCCTCTAACGTGTAGTGGATTCCTACTACTGTTTCTCAACGGTTATCGATGCGCCTGTTGCAAGGCGCACCGTCATCCTTTTGAGGGGAATGTCGCGCTCAACGAACTTGAGCCTACGACCCTCTAGTGACTGGCGTCGAACAAAGTTGTTCGATGCCCCACAGTCTACTAGGGCACGAAGCGACAAATCATTTGTCGCTTCCAACTTCAAGGTGATGAGCGAAACGTCATCACCAGGTGCAGAGACACACAATGATTGTGTATCTGTAGCAACTTTCGTCAAGAGATTTGCAAATTCTCTTGAGGTTGCTGGATCAGTAGGGCGCTCCGCCCCTACTGACCCCGACCATTTTTTGGTGGTCCGTCTCGCTGTTGCGGCTTCGCAACAGCGCTGGACCCACGCCCATTGCCCTTTCTGGCAAATGGTCGTCCATTTCGCTCAGTACTGTTTGGTACTGGGCGTGAATCACTACACTCGTATGCGTAGTGCCCTAACTTCTGACAGCGAGTGCACCTCTGCAATCGCTTGTTGTTTGAAGAGCGAGGTCTCTCGCTCTCAACATAGCAGAGGTCCATTGGTTCCGGACCTCCGATCTCTTGTCGTCTCGGTGGACGATAAGAGTTTGAGCTAGCATGAGCCTGTCTCATTCTAAAGTCTTCCTGCTCCGCGGCTGATATCGCATCTTCCAGCGTATTCAGCTCAAGGCGGAACAGGTGGCTCCTGACGGGTCCCTCTGCGAGCCCTTGCATGAACACCGTAATCAACGTGTGTTCATGTACTGGGTTAGCAGTTATACTACTCGCAAGGAGTCGTATATGTTGTGCGTAAGCGTGAACACCACGCTTACTCTGCTTGAGTTTCAGGAGCTCTGAACGAGCCCTGAACTCAGCCCGTGGCGGCTCAAACGTTTGTCTGAGCCGGGACTTGAAGTCATCTAGCGACCTAAACACATTTGGGTCGCTACTCTCGAGCCCCAGGAACCAAGTTTTGGCACGCCCTGCCAAGTGGGTCTGAGCAAATGTGAGTTTCATTTGCTCATCTTCGACGCGACGAGCCCTTAGGGCTATGTCGAGTTCGACAAACCATATTAACAGGGAGTCCTCCGGGACTCCACTGTACTTGGAGATGTCAACTTTCATGACTTCGGGACGACGCGCATGTGCCGTCCCGCCCACAGCAGCATGGAATTGCTGCTGTCTCAACAGCTCCGTCTGTTGAGCACCGAGTTCTCTCAACTGCTCGGCCTGTTGAGAGCCTTGCTGGTGAAGCAAGGCTACTTTCTCCCTTTCGGCGACAAGTTCATTCTGAATGAACTTGGCGATAGCGGTATGTTGTTGGTCTCTGTCTAGAGACTCCAACATGGCGCTAATGGCGAGTTCGCCTACGGTAGAACTCATTCGTTCTACCGCACCCCATTCGATGTCACTCAAATGGGTAAATCCTTCACGCGTGGCGTGAAAGGTCTCTTCATCATCCAACATGTTCATGTTGGATGTTGTGGTCCTTGGAAGGACTACAAAGTGCTACCAGGTGTAACGGGGCACACCCTTGCGTGAACTTAACGCAAGGGTTTCGGTGCCCCGACAGACATACACGTGGCAAGCGAGGAAGCGTAGGTAGGGTAAAAGCAGAACTGTTATATTAATATAATTAAGTCTTTTAACTACTGTCTCTCTGCTTGACTTAATTCAATTATATTAATATAACTGCATGTATGGTGACGCTTCGTCACCACTCATTGCGCACGTCTTGCGGCGATTGGTGGGTTGATATCGTCAAGATATCAACCAATGAACAGACTCTTTGGTCGACCCTTCAATATCACCTCTTTGGTGATATTGTTCAAAGAATATTCAACTTCATATTCTTTGTTGTTACTTTCCTTTAAGTGACAATTCCATGTAACGGGCTGCCCCGTTACATCTACTGCTGCGAACGCGAGGCAAACACAGCGTGGGCACCCCCCCCCCCGCTCATCACATTGGCCGTCCACTCGATGGCCGAATCGCTCTGTATGTGCAACAAGCCAAGAAAGCGTGGACGGCATTCAGGCGACGCAGTTCAACGTTGTCACACTTTCGCTATCTATGCTCAAAAGAAGTGTATAGATGCTCAAGAGTAGTCGAAGAGTGACGTCTGGCTATCAGTTACGACGTGTGTGCTCTGTGCTTTATGCCGAATGTCTCGGCAGTTGTTGATCGACCTCGCGGAGTAGAATGTAGCCATACTGAGAACGCCGACCGCGAGTCGAACGACCTTCAGTCAACACGACAACAGCTGAGCGCTAATTGCACTGTAATCCAGTTGGTCGGAAGTGAGAGCTCCAGTATGAAGCTGCTGAAGAAGCAGATCAGCGAGAAAGATGGCGCCGGATCCGTTGTGCTGCGTGCCGAGGATCCGGAGGATATGTGGCACACGTACAACCTCATCCACGTGGGCGACTCGGTCAAGACGACGACGATGCGCAAGGTACAGCAGTTGTCCGATGGTTGTGTTTTTTCGTACTTAAGTGAAGCATTGAGTCGAAATGTCGTGTGTAGGTGGGGAAAGAAGGCGTGACGGGCCCTACCAGTAGTCGGCGTGTCCACATGACGCTGCAAATTGAGGTGCGATGCTTCGGTCGGCCGAAAAAGGCCCTGCGTGAGTGTTGGGTGCTCATCGATTAATCAACGGATAGGTGGAGCAAGTCAACGTCGATCCGGTGCTTGGCGTTCTGCGTATCAGGGGCAAATGGATTATCAAGAGTCAAAATGTGTCGGGTACGCAGTGCAAGAACAGTTGTGTGCTCTTGGGGCAATTGATGTTGAGGGGCCGATCGATTGACCTGACCCATTTGCATGCAGATGGGAGAAGTCGCGGTTTTAGCGTAAGATCCACTGACTGGATCTTGAGATAAACCGCGACTTCGCGCTGACGAAAGCAGCTGCTGGATGTCATGCCGCTGGAACGGATTAGTACGACGTGCGTTACAACTGAGCAAGCTGAGCTTGTAGCTATAGTCATGCAGGTCGGTCTGGCCCATTTGTGCCAAGGGTGGTATGCCTGTCGTTCGCGCCAAGATCGAGACGAGTGTACCTGAAAAAGCGTCCAGGCAGCTCGGCTCACGCTATCAGCGTAGAAAAGCTCTATGCGAACACTGTGTGCTCCGTCCGTCGGCACATTGACTTTGGGCTTGTACGATGCGTGCTGCTTGCTGGTCTCGGTGTGAAGTGGCACAAAGTTGTGAACCACATCCTGTTGAGCATCAGCGTGGTATCGACAATTAGGCTGATGTTAGGACGGGACGGACGGCTATTTTCAGCGAGAGAATGTGCAGATGGATGAGCAGCAGAGCTGATAATTGTCTGCGACCACTCAGATGAAGTGCAAGTGAGAACAAGTATGGGTCCGATACATTCGAGCGTCAAGGCGATACGACAAGACCCGCTCTTCTTGTCGCGATCACGAATCAGAGCAAGTAAACCCAACACCAATGCAATTGTTTTTCATGCGCGATGTATTATGTTCCACTATGCCGCACAACGACTCCGACAGGGGCCGTCCATTTCGCAACGATACGGTCGAGAAAGCAGGCGAGCAAATGCCGACGCACCCACTTACTTCTTGGCCTCCTTCTTGTCCGCCAAACGCTTGGCCTGCTTGCCGAAAATGCGCTTGTCGGCACGGGCCACACGCAGCTGCGCAAACACGCTCTTCTCCTTCATCTCAGGAGTGATGACGGCAGTCGTCGACTTGACGGTCGAGCGCGCAATCGGCAAGATCGCGCCCTTGTGCTGCACAGCGTTCTTCGTCTCCTCCACCGCCGAGTCACCGTTCTTGATCTTGTTGCTCTTGCGCGGGAACACTACGAGCTTGGCCTTGTACGCCTTGAGACGGTGCACGTTGGCCTGGAGCGACTCGACCGACAAGTTCGTGCGACGAAAGTCCACGGCAATGCCGATGCTCATGGCCTGCTTGCGGTTGATGCCAGCCTCCTTGAGCTCCTCGAGCGTGAAGCCCTTGCCAGCACGGACCTTGGAGCCATACTTGATCGTAGGGCAGTGCACAGCCGGACGCAGCAGACCAGCAGCCGGGCGCGGAGCAATGGCAGCAGCCTTAGCCTTACGTCTCAAGCGACGGGTCTTCTTCTTGGAAGCCTATCGCAGCATCAAACGCAGTCATCAGTACACATGTTCGTGATCCGTAGCGCAGTTGACGCAGCTGCACAGCCAGTAATGGTGCAACGCCGTTCAGGCCAAGCAGTCAGTGTTCATCGACTCTGAGATCTGTCCAATCATCAATCAACTGTGTGCTTGTGTCTGGTTTCTCTCGCAATGGGCCTGCACGGCATCGTCTCGGGCGTCGATCGTTGACCCGCACAGTTCTTCCTCGGTAGAGGAAAGAGACAGAGCTTGACTGGCTGTGCAGTGTGCTGCCTGTTGTCTACTGCCTACTGTCCTATTCTGCGATAGCGTCGTACCTGGTCGAACCAAGTCTTGATTCGGGATTCCCAGTACTTGTGGAAATGCCCATTAGGAATGACGTTGTTGTGCTTGACCATGTTTTCGTCTTCTCAACTGCACAGCGAGAAAGAGAGAGAGAGAGAGAGAAGTGGTAACAACGTGGTCTATGTCAGTCACTCTGTCGATTGCTTCAGCGATCACGTCAGACTAACGGCACGCGCTCATTTACCTTCGCGCGAAGTGACTCAGAAAGAGATGCGGGCAATTTGGAACTTAGTGCCCACTACGACGACTACGAGCAGCGGACGCGAGAATTGGTGGTTCCCCTCTCCAGTCCTTCCTTTGACTTGCACTTCGTATGGTGTCGACGTGCAGCCAATCCAAGCACGGGATCGCTGCGTCCTGTACTAGGACACTCTCGAATATAATGTACTTCACATCAGCGAGTAAGAGGCCGATGCGGGTACACTGTACCACACGCGAGGGGCGACGAGCGCAGTCGAGCTTTCAACATGTTCAGCTCAGGAAGTGCGTCCGGCGTCAATAGCTCCATCTCGTTTGCCCCCTCTCGTCCGTGGCGTGCTCATATAGGCGTATACATGTGTGTGCTGTGCTGTGTCTGCTCTGTAGGCGGAGGAAGCGGCGGTTTCGACAGCTTTCGGACGCAAAATACGAATCTATTTGGACCAAATGAAGGTACGAAAGGTTACACGTTTACGGTTACGCTGCAGCGATGAGGGCGTGCTCGGGTACTGGGTAGACAGATGCAATCTATCGATACCGTCGCGCCATCGTGTCGTTTCCCCATTGTGTCTGTAGGCATCTCTAGGTATTGATCGCTCCGCTGCCTTCACGTTTCCAGGATTGACAGCAGTGAACTCTTTCCAGCCCATTGGAAACGTTCCAGACGTAACTACAAGGTTTGGACAGAGTCGGGGTGGCATTGGAAACCAATTGCCGCTGCCCTCGAGCAGTTTGGCTGGAACCCGGAGGCCAGAAGGAGACTTTAGTGGCTTTCCGCAAAGAGGGTTGGCTCGAAATACGTCCATGGTTTCAGGTAGATTCGGTCGCGCTGCGACAAGTGGAAACCCGTTTGGGCTGACGAATCAGAGCACGGCAGAGAACAACGATCGATCGAGTATGACACTTGAGTTCACGCCGTCTTTCAGTCACGACGACAATTTGTCATCAACGTCAACGAGCACGCGCTCTTCGATTGGATCAGCGACAGAAGGAAGTGGACAGTCATTGGAACAAGTGTTTGAGCCTGGTGGAAATACACGGGGGGTCGTAGAATTTGACAATGAGGCGATAGGCTTTGGCACAAGCAGCACACCATTTCGTGCAAACGGCAGTGACTTTGGTGGGGGTCCAACTGTTTTTGGAGCGCCTCTATCCAAGCGCGGGTCAAATGCCTTTTCGCAAGGACCAGACGGATTCGAATCCGCTAGCACTGCAGCGCCATACATGTCGCAGATTACAGTGTTTGGCAACCAACCTTCCGGCGTTCGAGTACAAAAAAAGAAGCGGGTTTCTCCGAACGCGGCTACCTCTCCTTCTCGTGCAGTCGATTCTTTCGCTGCCGCCACAAGTAGACGTGGAGCACCAAGCGCCTTCCATATTCAAACCACGTTTGGTGCAGCAGCTGGTGGTAATGCCCCGACGACCTCTCACTTTATTCGGAAGCCTTTTTCTGATGAGAGTGCTGCTGCTGTCACTGCCTTCGGCGGTACCCGCGATAATCGACATCCCGTCTCGAACAATAAGTATGAAGCTATGGCTGGAGAATTCCCGAGTACCAACAAGAAGGCGTCGATGGAGACGCGAATGAGTGGCACGAGCAAAGCTTCGTTCGGGTCAAGAAAACGTGGCAAAGGATCTATCGCTAGGGCGGAATCGGATTCGAAGCATGTCGGTGAGCGCCGACGCACTGCCAGTTATAGTCCGCTAACTATGCTTAGCGCTGATGATCCTGACGATGACATAAGGTCAATAGTGAGCCGAACAAAAGGAAATGCCGGGAAGCGTCGACAATCTCGGCATCAGAACCCAGTGTCGAATACGCATGATGACGAGACCTCATTTGTCTCCATGTCACCTGCTATCGTCGGGGACAGAGACGAAAACAACAAGGCACAGCTATCGGCAGCTGCGAACCTGGATGGTCTTTGTACCGATATGTGCAGTCAAGTAGAACGAGAGCTGCACATTCGTGTAGATGAATTGAGCGTGTTCGAGAAGTGCTTTCCTGGCCAATATGGGACCGAACGCGATACGATTATCAAACGTTTTCAGCGCAGTTCGGCTGATCACAAGTTGGACATTCCGGACGAAATTCGTCCTCCAGGTGTTCTTCGACGCACCCAGTTGTACATTGAACAAGCCATTATGGATTTAGATCGGTGTGGGTTGGACCCACGATTCCAGCCGCCTCGAGCTCCAGAGCCGATCGAGTTGTATAACTTCTGCTGGGACCGTTTTCGAATGATTCGCAAGGACTGTGTTTTACAGAACTACCGTGGTGCAGGGGGTCGTGTACATCCCATCGTGCTGGACATCCACGAACGTATTGCGCGGTACCACGTCCTCAGCGAGCACGAACTCATCGAAACACCAAGCTTTGTGGCTCAGCAAAACATGGAACAGCTCGGGCAAACGCTCAAGTCGCTGAACGAGCTGTATGACGAAAGCCACAAGGTGGCAGACCCCGCGTACTTTAGTCCTTTTGAAGCCGAGTTCCGCGCGTATTTCATACTGTGTACACTGGATAATGGCCGCGGCATGGATGTGCTGAAGTATGTCAAAGACCTGCCGCGCTTTATTGTGGAAAGCAGTCATGTCAAGTTCGCGATGCGCGTATTTGTTGCTCGTCAAACTGGTGACTACTATCAGTTCTTCTCGCTTCTTCGTGAAGGGACGTATTTGCAGTCATGTCTTCTCTCCCGGTACATTCCGAATGTCCGGTCTTCGGCGCTGCTTCGTATGAATCGATCGTATCGCAGCCAGACTTACCCACTGGAGGACTTGGCGGATCTGTTGTGTTTCGACGACGTTGAGCATGCCTATGCAGTATGTCGTGAACATCAAATCGAAATAATTGGCCACCCTGATATCGACGACGAAAACGAGATCCTAGTAAAGTTTGGTGGCAGCTTCGAAACAGGTACGTGTATCTTGACGTTGGGTTGAAAGTTGTGGCACTAGCATTGACCGTGGGCTGCTGACATCGTTACAGATGCTCAACTTCGGCGGAACAATCGGCCACTCAAGATTCGGGGTTCGACTTTTTTCATCGGAATCAAGCAAGGGTACGCGTGTATTCGTATCGTTAGTAATGTAGGTCCGTTTTCACTCAGTTCTTGCTTTGTGTAGAATCTTCTTACGCCGCGACGTCTGCCGCGGGGTAACAGAATATCCTCGAAATGACTACCCAGCCCTAAGCAAGTTAATTCAAGAAATGGAGCAGGAAGAACAGGCTCGGTTGTACCCAGATCGACCTGAGTACACGGATAAGTACTCACGTTTTGTTGATTTCACTGGCGAGGATGCCATATCGTCTCTGGCAAGTGATGAAATCGAGACCGTGGACGACTACGATAGTGAACAACACCGACCGAAGATAGGTCAAAAACGACATCTCGAAACGATTGCACACAAACAACAGGAGCTTGAGCAGGAGAGGCAAATGATGCTTGAACGAATGCGGAGGCTTGAGCAGGCAAAAGAAGAGAAGAGTCGGCGTGAACGATATATAAAAGCTGCCGCCGAAGAAGCTGCGCGACGTGAAGAACAGATAAGGAGGGACGCTCTTGCCCGAGATAAGGCTGAAAAAGAAGCTGCAGAAGCGAGACAACGGCAGATAGAACTGGAAGCACGATTACGCGAGCAGAAACAGCGTGAACTACAAGAACAGTACAAACTGGCAGAAAGGGCTCGCGAAGCAGAGCGGCAACGACTCGCGGCGTTACAACACGCCGAAGCTATGAGGGCAAAGGCGGCGGAAGAAGAACGACGTCGACAAGAAGAACGGCAAAACAAAATCCGACGAAAAGTAGCAGAAGAGCTTGAGCGACGTCGACAGCAAGAGCTAGCGGAGGAGCGTGCTCGCCAAGCTCGCGAAGCTGAGCTTGAAGCCCAACGACAAGCACAGCTTGCGAAAGAGCGAGAAAGGAAGAGGGTGCGCCGGGCTGGAAAGCACCGGCTTGCAGTCTTAAAACTAAGACTACATTTGTGGAAGAAGTATGTGCAAGTGTCTCGTAATGGCCCTGGACCAATTTCAATTGATGCGACGAAGCTTCGACTTGGCCGGCCTCATCAAAAGGCTAAAGATAGCATCCAGTGGCTTTTCGGGGGAACTGGTAGAGTGTCTGCTCCACCGACGAAAAAAACGCGATTGTCAAGTGCGGCAGTAGATGCGTCGCCTTCACATGCCGACATTCTATCGCTTTGGTGCGCAGACGACATCCAAGACTTGGTCAGTGGTCCACTTTGTCGACAAAACCCTGGATTGCCATCAATCGCGTGGAAACTAGTGATTGCAGATTTAATGGATGGAGCTTCATCGTCGTTTGGCTTGTGGTGCGCAGTCCGGGCCGGGGCACAGAATGTGTCTGTACCTGAGCGTGACTGCCACCGCACGTTCCAATGGAGTATTGGCAAGGAGCAGGGAGTCGCCGTGTGCAGCCGGTATCTCGATTCGACGTTTACTGAGCGGAATACACACAAGGCGCAGCAAGAGAAGCTCGCTGGGACTTCAGCGATTCTGTTGCCCGTAGATGTGAGCACACTGCATGTAGCTAGCAATTGCAGTAGCTGGGTGCGGCAAGTGGAAGATCTGCTAGCGTGTCTGAGCGCGGGGTGCCGTGTGACACTATTTGCTCTAGGGTTTGCTTCGACGGAAGTCGAGTCGTCTCGGAAACTCCTCGTCACCACGCTTGAGGGCTGTATGGAGCGGATGCGAAGTCGATTTGCTTCGCAGGTGGTTCATACTCGCGTTGAAGTGATGGACGCAGGCGACTTGCTTCCTCACAAGTTCAGGCAAGTGTTGAAAACGATTGCAACGTTGTCTCCTCCAGTGCGCCACCTCGAGAGTGTTGGCCTGAAGGAGCTTCTAGAGAGCAGTATGGGGTCGATGCTGAACCGATTTGAAGCGTCAGTTGAGATCCAGAGCAATATTTGCGATGTTTTCCGGCGCGTGCATGAAGACATTTGTGCGTCTGGTGTAATGGACCTTACGTACTCGCCACCAGAGGTGCAATATGCTGTAATGGCCCCCTCGTATGACTGGAACTCGGAGGAGAGGCGAGACAAGATCAAGACGATTCTGACGGCACTTGAAGCCACTCGCATTGCCGTCGTGGATTCCTCGGTCGCTTGCGACGAGGCATGTGACGTTTACTTCAAAAGAGTGGCAAACTTCATTGATCGCCTGTTTGATTCACATTCAGCAGCTCCAGCAGTGTCAACGTACGAGCTCAAGAAGACAATTTTCAGCGCGCTTCTCCCCGTTCATGAGGCCTTGACACAGGACAGTAGGAGAGAGCAAGTGACTCCACGGAATGCTGATGTGCTACTGCCATGGCGGAAGATTTTCAAAGAGATATACGAGACTTTCTTCGAGACACTGGACGACATCACGATCTATTATCCGGCTGATTGGCGCAAGTTCGGGACGACTGTGTCGACTTTGCTGGATGCTGCGCACTCTTCGATTTGGGCAAAGCTCAGCGCAAGCTCCAAAAAGACCAAGGGCGCCGTCGTGGATGATTCCGTGGCACGAGTCACTGTGCAGAGCATCAGGAAGAGCTTTGGACTCTCGAAAGCGCCGGATGGATCGACCGTGCCACAAAAGTATCGAGCAATGGACGAAATAAACCGTCTTCGAGCGGAGATCAAGAGCGAGAAGGCCGTGACGACGCAGTTTCAGCGCATGCTTCGCCAAGCTCTTGATCGATGGGATCAAGCGTAGTAGATGACGTCAGGGCAGTGAGTGGGGCGTATGTTGGCCCGCGTTTGACGTTCCAGACTGCTTGGCTCGGGAAAAATAGTGTACGCACAACGTCGAGCGCTCGAGTTCGTAGTACAAACGTAGGATTGATTCTTGTACGTACATGAATCGACCATCCGGACAAGTTGATCGAGCAGTTTGTCCTTCTTCCAAATATCCCAACCTAGGTTCTAAATTCGTGCGCGTTTAAGTACTCCTACTTCACGCCGCCGCTGCTCGACATGAAGCTGTGCGACTTGCCGCGTGAGCTGCTGGTCGCGACACTGCAGTTCGTGGACCACACGAGTCTCGTGCGCCTCGAAGTCGTCAGTCGTCACGTGCGAAACGTCATCGTCCACGGCGGTACGTCCTCAAGCACAGCAGTTTGTCAGCTCGGATCCCCTCGTCTGATCCGCTCTGGACTCAGATACGTGGCGCGAGCTGGCGCACCGTCTGGCGCTGTACGCACGCAACCGCTACATGCGCAGCCCGTCTGGATGGAAACGACTGGTGCTGTTGACCCAGCGCCCCGTGAGCCAAGAGCTGTCGGTGCTACGTCAAGTGCGCGGTGAGCTGCCGTCGAGTCGGTAGCACGAGGCGTGGGTGTCGTCTGATGTAACGCTTTTGTTCGTGCTACTTTTGGCTGTGGTGTGTGCAGACTGTACATCAGTGGACCACATGAATGAGTCAGCCGAAAACACACTGACGCGGTCGTACTGCAGTATTGTCGTCGCGCTCTTGAACGACCGGTACAATAATGGGACCGCTCGCACTGCTGCAGCCGTAGAAGACGACGTGGCTGCGTATGAGGCGATTGGCAAGCGACTGCAGCTCGAGTGTGGCTGTGCGAGAGGACGTCCGTGCTATTGGAGCAGGTATCTTATTGAGAGCTACGGAAGCTCCAGAGCAGGTCTAGGACCAGAGCAGATTCGTTGTTTATCTGTTTGTCTATCTATTTATTTGTTCAAGTGCATTGTGATTGTATAGATCGATTCAGTGTGCATTGTTCCAGTAGATGACGAGCGTGTGGTATTGTTTCGTCGTTGCTGTCTGTTATGATGCAGTGCTTCGACGTGGGAATGCACGTCGACCGATCGTCTTGACTACACGCTGTGGGAAAACTGTCTGGTTGAGAGTGTGCAGATCGTGCCGTACCGAGTGTTTTGGTACCCTGGCAGTCCGACGTACTCGCCAAAGCGCGCATCGTTCGCGCTCTATGAGCTGCGTGACGACGGTGAGGTCGACACAGTGGTCTATGAATCGACGGTGTTTAGCATTGTCAAGGACATGAAGGTACGGGGTATTTGTGCTGCAAACTTGCCATACGACAGCGTGCTTGTTTCTTTTGCCGATACTGATTTGTCTGCTATGTAGATGGAGACGTTCACGTTGCCGCGTCGAGTGTTTTTGTCGCGAGGAATGCTGCGAGTGACTTTGTTTGACCGGCAGGAAGACATTGGTCTGGATGTGGCCCGGTGGATGCAAGAGTACGACTTGCCTCCGTACTACACGTGCTTGAGTTACGTAGGAGCGACGGGACTGCTGGAGTCCAGTGTTGCTAATGAGTTGGTAAGTTAGCTGACTATGAGGTATATGATCAGTTTTCGGTGGTTTGTTTTGCTCGACGCACTCGCACTTGTTCTGTTCCCGTTGAGTTGTTAGTTGCGTAAAAGGGATGATCGAGGCTCGAGCACGGGGTAGTACGACGGCGTCAATATCGTACATGGCTACGAAAGGATCCACGTTGAGGGCCAGCAGGTCCAGCAGGTCCAGCATGAGAAAGCCGTTGTTCGCAAATGATCTGCGTCAAACAAAAAGAACAGCCGATTCTTCGCGGCGACTGGCTTCTAGCATACCATGATGTAGCAAGCTGTACCCAACGCAGCTTGCCCATCATCCAGCGTGTTCGAGCGTGCTTGTCCAATATGCGCCCAGCCAGCTTACCGTATGGTCATCGCGGTGTATGACGACACTTGTTGTAGGTGAAGTGCTCGCGTCGGGCCGAGCGCAGCAGATATCACGCTTGCAGTTATTCTGCATAAGGCTTGTTTTCGGCTATTGGAGCACGACCAAGTTGCTGACACTCTGCTGCTGCAAGCGCTGATACGAGGAACCACCAACTTGCACCGGATTGAAGATCAGAAGATAGGCCATAAGATTGACACCCGATTGATTTGGCTGTCGACCGTCAATTCGGTCACAAGGGCTTCACGCCGCCTGTGGTGACACCCTCCCGTGGCAGTGACGGGTGGTCTCAATGGCGGCATGTTGGTGTGTGAAGACTCGACACCGTTTGCCGTAACTTGAGTGATTCGGGCGGGCTAACAGCACTCTCTTGGCACCGGAATCAGTGCTTGATTGCATGTGTGTATGTCGAAGGCAGAGTGCACGTATGGACATTTGCAAGCCCGACCTGGTCGTCTTGATGTCAGTGCTGATCATGGCAATCTACCGCGTACACCCGTTCGTGCTATACCGCGTCCACGAACGAAAATTGTTTGTGGTGAGATGTGCGCAATGGGTCTCAATGTTGCGTCCAGCGCATGAGAGAAGCGACCGAAATTGGTGGGTCGTCTCCCGACGGGCGTTTGTTTGAAGTGCTGGCCAACGGAGGCGCACCGTGATTACAACTTACGCTGTGATGACCCTATGCTCGTATGTGCCTGCAACGAGGAAGCTGTATGTACTGCTGTGGCGCGCATGCTCAACGCGTCTACGGCAAACGCAAACGGTCGACTCATCGACTGGTGACAACATGTAGGTGCTGACGCATTGCATCGTGTCGGCAGTGTGCCTGAGTGCTGACGACGATAGCTAGCCTCAGTTCAAGGTGACGACGGTAAGTCCACCTCGAACACATACACGGCGCACACCGAATCGTTGCACGTCTGGAACCCACACATGATAAGGGGGTGCAGAACTGTACATTCATTACGCCATCCACAGTTTCAACAGCACTCCTTCATATTGGCCACTTCTATCGCGTACCGACAACCACGACGCAGACGTCCTCTAATGTCGCTGCTCATGGTTCTTCAGGTAGTTGTAGAGCAGCTGGACGCCAAAGCCCGTGGCTCCCGGGGGGAAGTACGACTTGGCCGAGCTGTAGTTCGACGGTCCCGCGATATCAAGGTGAGCCCAGTCCACACCCTTGTAGACGAACTGCTGCAGGAAAGCTGCTGCCGTGGAGGCACCACCGTAGCGACCACGACCCGTGCTTCGAGAGTCTGACTGCGAACCCTTGAGGGCAGCAGTGTGCTCTGGCAAGATCGGCAAACGCCAGCAGCGCTCGTGACACTCCACTCCTGTCTGCTGCAGCTTCGTGGCCAGATCGTCCGAGTTGGAAAACAAGCCGGCACAGTGTTCGCCCAGAGCGACCATGCACGCACCAGTAAGCGTCGCCACATCGATGACGGTCTTGGGCTTGTACTCCTTCTGGACGTATGACATCGCGTCACCGAGCACTAGACGCCCTTCAGCGTCCGTGTTGTTGTTCTCAACAGTGACACCCTTGTGCGACTTGACTATCGTCAGTGGCTTTACGGCCTTCGAGCCAATGGCGTTTTCAGCGAGGGCCAAGGCGCAGATAATGTTCACCTTGAGACCCTGGCGCGACGCAGCACGAACTGCGCCAAGCACAGCCGCCGACCCGCACATGTCCATATGCATGTCTTCAATCGAGCCCGTGGGCTTGAGGTTCAAACCGCCCGTGTCAAACGTAATGCCCTTGCCGATCAGCGCGACTTTGTCGTCCGAGTCGGGATTCCCACAATACTCCAGAATCACAAGACGAGGAGGACAGACACTCGCCTGGCCGACGCTCAGGAACATGTGCATGCCTTCCTTCTCCAAATCGTCCTGCTGTAGCACACGGACCGACATGTTGGGCAGCACTGCCGACGCACGCGCCACCTTCTCCATGAACGCTGGATCGACAATATGCGAGCGCTCATTGCCTGCAACCGACACACGCGCCACGACAATCAGAACCATGGCAACACCCCACAATAATAGCAACAACAGCCCCTGGCTGCAACAAGACGTACCCAAATTGCGAGCAAAGATAGTCTCTTCACCCACTGTCGCCTGCTCCTCGACACTCTGTACAGCACCACACAGACACGAGACCGTCAAGCACGATCCCCACAGACCCCATCAGCGCTCCTCGCTCTCGTCTCTCTCACCTGCTGAAACTCGGCCGAAGCGTCGACGTACACCTCTTCCAAAGGCGCGTTTCGTCTCTTGTCTCCTGTTGCGTCCGCCTTCTCCTCCTCCTCCACGTCCACGCTCAAGTACCGGTCAAACTGGTAATTGGACAGCGCCAGTGCTTGCGCCACGAGCTCCACGACGCGACCGGTCTCCAGCCCGCACTCTTCCAGCTCCGGCACGTGCACCACAACGTCTTTCACGCACTTCTTCCTCAGCTCACGCAACGCGCCGCACGTGGCGTCCCGCAGCACGTCGGGCGTCACGTCTGCAGCGTCTCCGAGGCCCATGAGCAGCACGCGCTGGTCGCGTACACTCGTGTGGTCCACATTCGGGTACACGTACAAGTGCTCGCGTGGACGCGCGTGGAAGTCGCGCAGCGCAGCGGCGGAGACGGGGAACGGCAGCGACTGCTGCAGCGCCGCCGACGCCGACGAGCGCGTCACGAACACGACGCGGGTGTTGAGCGGAGACGAGGAGGCAGGCGGCAGTAGCGACAGTTTCCCCTGGACGCGCTGCTGGACGAGGCGTAGCGCCGCCGACGCCGGCGACGAGCTACTGAAGACGCGACGGAGCATGTGGAGGTGCTCGGGAGCTTTGGGCGGTTGGTAGTCAAAACGAACAGTGGGGAAAAGTAGTCGTAGTCGTAGTAGTAGTAGTAGTAGTCGTAGTAGTAGTAGTACAGTTGAAGTTTTAGTGGAGCGAGTAGTTTAATACAATTTAGCGCATATTTTAGTCCGAAGCGACAGGATGGAAGAAATAAATAGCTGATGAGTGTGCATTTGTAAAAAAAGACTGTTCAGGAGGGTGTGCTAACAACGAAGAGGGAGACAAAGCTGTGTAGTCAGTGCTTGTGGCATCTTCGGATGCGCTTGATCGTGACAAAAAGATACGCGTTTGTTGACGTCAAGAGGCTGCTCAATGGCACGATATCGACAGGTGTATGGAAAGGTTCAGGAGCCATACATTTGGGAACTGTGACTGCCACGTTATGCAGCAGCTCAGCGTACGATCGGTCAAACACGGCAATAGCGCGCGGCAATAGCGCGACGGCTTCTTTTGTACAATGCTGCGTCAGACTCGTTCCATCAGCAGCAGCGGCAGTGAGTCCAGATCAGGTCGGAAGATATCTCGAACTGCCCTCGCGGCACAGATCCAAAGCTGCGTGATGTCCATTGATACGGAAGACCGTCTTCTACCACCGTCATAGCAGATGCCCTTGTACTATTAGAGATGCCACTTTACCACTTCAGTGTGACACCAGACGTACGGGACATAGTCTCCTGGTGTATAGTCAGGTAATCCAATGCATATTGCGTCGTCGTGACGTGACCCGCTAACAACTTACGTGCAACGTGCGACGTGTGAGAATCCGACCTCATGGTCGGAACGTGCGACGTGTGAAAACCCGCAAATCACTGGCAGCCAATCAATCGGATACAACAGCAATGACTGGCACGTCACCAGTGTATCGCGCCCTCTGTGTGCCTTCGGGCAATGTGGTCGCCTTTGGAATGCAAGCGACTGCGTCGGTGAACTGCGCGGGCAGGACGCTCTTCCGGGTGTTCCAGGGCAACGTGGAGGTGTTGGGCTTTCGACCGCCTCTGGGCGTCTACTTCTCGTTGCACTCGCCCAAGTGGACCCGTTTGCTCGTGATTGAAGGTCGACCAGGCAATGCCGAGACGCAAGCTCCTTTCGGCCCCCCGAACGTCAGTCTCTTGCAAGCCATGGAGCCCAATTTGCCATCCGAAGCTGTGAACGAGGACGAAGAGATTGCGGTCGATCAACTGGCCATGCAGCTCGTACACGACTTTCCAGTGGTGCTGGTGTTCCGAGCTATCCCTGTCGTGTATGGAAATATCACGAGTTTCTATGAGAACGCGAGACCCGAGAAGCCGCCAGCGGTCCTGCCTGGTTTCAAAGTGATCGTCTCGAAACACGACCAGAGCTTGCTGGACGACCTGACCGCACACTTTGACTCGGCAAGTGCTGCACCTTTGGCCACCGATCCCATGCGTCACGAGTGGAAGTCGCCTGAGCGTGTCCTGGCTGAGCTCGTGGTAGTGGACTCGTTCAAGACACTGCATATCACTGAGCCCTGGCAGGTCACAGGTGACCGACTGCTCGCTAGTCTGTTGGCAGAAGAGACCCCAACGTCGCAGAAAATCGTCGTTTGTGGCGGCAAAGGTGTGGGCAAGTCCACGTTTTGCAGGTACCTGGTCAACAAGTTGCTCTCACACTTCGAGACAGTGGCCTACCTGGACACCGACCTGGGTCAGAGTGAACTCACGCCGTCTGGCCTTGTTACCCTTCATGCGTTGACGTCACCGCTGCTAGGTCCGGGCTTCTCGCACATGAAGCATCCAATCCGGTCGTATTTCTGTGGAAATGCCAATCCAGGCAATGATCCGTTGTACTACATGAAGGCAGTCAAGAGTCTGCTGCATCTGTACGATGCGAAGTGGGGCAACCAACGAGACATGGGCACGAACAGCAACAACGTGAGTCCTCGGACACGCCATCGCGCATACGCACCATTGATAATCAACACGGACGGGTGGATAAAAAGCATGGGCCATGACTTGCTGTGCAACGTCATCCACGATACGGACCCCGACCACGTGGTGCAGCTGCTGGCTGCGTCGAAGAACAAACATTTTGATGTCTCCACGGAAGGCAAGTGGCATATTCACGCTGTCCCGCCTTGGGATCCTATCGGCGTGACACAACCGCCTCGTAGCTCCAAGGAACTGCGCATGTATCGGCTCCACTCGTACTTCCTCGCTCAAAGTCGGTGTCATCTGCCACGGCCGTTGCTGCAGAACCTGCACGTGCTCTCCGAAAAGAATCGCTTAGACAGCCACATATATCGCGCGTATGCTCAACTCACACCTTTCGCCGTGTCATTCGACCAGGTCGATATCTCGTTTGCCGGCCCCTCTGTGCCACCGAGCCAGCTCTTGTTCGCACTCAACGCTTGTGTCGTGGGTCTCTGCATCAACCTCGAATACAAACCGATCGAGCAGGACGATTCCAAAAAGCGTGAAGGTCCACCACGCATCGTGCTCCAGCCCGTACATGCGCCTTGTCTAGGCGTGGGAATCGTCCGTGCGCTAGAAGCCGAGAAACGTCAACTGTACATCCTGAGTCCGCTGCCTCTCTCCGTGTTGAAGCGCGTCAATTTGCTCGTGCAGAGCAGCATGTCGCTCGACAGCATCATGTTGTCCGCACACGATCCTGTTCAAGCACCTTACGCTGTTGCTGACGTCGTGCCATCTGAAGGCACCGGTTCTGCTGTCATGCAGAGCCGCAACAATCTCAAACGCAAGCGCGATAGCAGCAAGTGATCGAGCTGTGGAAGACTGTAGACGCGTGTACGTAGAAGAATAGATTCCTCGTTTTCATGGACTACGTACCTTCGTCTCTGCACCTGTACGTTATCGCCGTCGTTTCTCGGTCTCCCTTCTTTGCTGCTGTTGCTGATGCAAACTTCGTTGTGTTCACCCAAGTCTCCAGAACACGTTTGCACCTTGTTGATGACATCATTCCCCATCTCGACCGTCTTCGCTGAGACGCCAGTGTGGCAAAGCGCTGAGCTGCAAAACAGTGAGCGCAAAGACAACACACAAGCAACAGCACGTACCGGGTCATCGCCATGCACAGTAACACCAGCGGATCATCAATGCGACAGCACCGCACAGGAGCGAAAGATCACGGACGACGATCTATCGCTGCTGGTCTGTACAATGCTCAAACGACAAGCTGACCGACACGGGTGCTGCTAAACGCGGGCAATGCGATCCAATATTGCTCATGTATGTCTGATCGATAAGCTCCAAGTCGTGCTATCTACTTGCGAAAAGAAAAGTCGACGTCCGCAGCCTCAGTGTGAGGTGTTGCAATAGCGCCCATGTGGAAATCACCGCACGAGACCCTACATTTTCAGGAAGCACACAAGTAAAACACACGCAAATGAGCAACCGCAACGGATCGACCCAACATCGCAAAGTGCGAACTGACGTACGAGGTAACGTTGATATTGGCGAGAGCCTCGATTTGCAAAGGCTGCAGCTGGTTCTTCCGTTCGCCGTGGCCCAGGCAGTTGGAGCTACCCTTGCCAAATGTAAAGATCTTGCCGCTGTCAGTCAAAGCTGCCGTGTACTGTCGTCCGCAAGCCACTTGAACCACCTTGTGCTCGTTCACAGCCGTCATCTCGTGTGGCTCGATCCAGATCTTGGCGCCCCACATGTACAACCGACCATCCTCTGTCACCGCGGCAGCGTGGTCGTAGCCGGCAGCAATCTGCTTAACAGACAGTCCATTGAACGCTTCTACCAGTACCGGTATCGACTCGATGTTGTATACATCCATCGCTAAGCCACCACCGATACCCAGCTGGTTATCTACAGCAACAGCATCATGACAATGCCATCAGTATCATTCAAGCAATACCAGAGTGGAACAGCAGTAACGTACGACTGTTGCCGCCCCAACTGTACAACTCGCCCTTGTCCGTCAACGCAAAAGAGAAGTCGCGTCCAGCAGCGATAGACACCACGACGTCATTAGAGAAAAACTCGATCGGCTCGGGCACTTCGCACGTGTCGGACTCGCCATTGCCCAGTCTCCCGTATTCGCCATTGCCCCAAGCCCAGATCTCCCCGTCCTTGGTGAGCGCCACCGTGTGAAACTCGCCACACTTCACTGTAGAGATAGGCACTCCCTGATCGACCAATGTCGTCAGCAGTCGTGGCGTGGGCTCGTCCTTGCCGCCAGCGTGGCCAAGTCCGCCAGCGCCCTTCATCGTAGATCCTCCCCAGCCCCACGAGTACATTTTGCCGTCTGCGTCTACCGCAGCTGTGAAGTAATCTCCACAAGACACGTCGACGATCTCAATGCCTTGAAGTGCCTCCACTTCACGTGGCAAAACCTCCATCTCGTTGCTCTCTCCGAGACCCAGCTTGCCGTACTCGTTCGAGCCCCACACAAACAGCTTGCCATTCTCATCAACTGCAGAAAAGACACAATGACGATCACAGATCAGCAGTAACATGAGCATAACAATGAGTCAGTTCTCATGCACGTGTAAGAGATAATGAGAAATGCTCGAGTTCGTACTGGCAGCGCTGTGACTAGCGCCAAAGTCCAAGCGGGTGATGTCTCTGCCTTCGAACGCTTCGAGCAACTTGGGTGTGAGATCTTCGTACGCATTGCGGATGCCGCTTTTGACGACTTCGCCGTGTCCCAATTGGCCCATAGTACCGGTACCCCACGTATACACTAAAGTTCACGAGAGCCCATACAACAAACAGCCCGTAAGTTCAGCACGACGAACAGCCGGCAGCTGGTACTTCAAGACTCACCGCTCGATTGGGTAGCGAAGGCAGCACGTTGGACGCCACGTTGTCGTGCGCTGCGGGCGACCAGGAGGCGCACAGTACGGGCGCGTCCGCGGAGAGCGCTGAGCACCATGCTTTTCGTCGGGCAAATGCGTGTCGTGGCTAAAGTATGTGCACCACACCATTGCTCAGATTGGGTGAGTAAACCACACATTGTTGCGGTTGTCGACCCTTTTGGTGTAGCCATGTCGTGTGCGTCGATGGGTTCTTCCTCAGCGTCCAAGTTTCTGGCTGGAGCAGATTTACGCTGTTGTACAGGTTAGTGGCGCTCGTTCGACGATAGGAGGGCCGTTGTCGATAGTACGCACGAAGCGACGAAACTTTTGGGGCGGGCAAAGACTTGGCATGTGATCGGGTTAGTAGCGCATTGCTGCATAGCTGTCTGATTACATGCATACACCTCGTGATACGTCCGAAGCGTCACGATGTCTTTGTGTCGGAGAGCGCACCTGGTACGGAGTTTAAAGCATACATGAGTCCAGCTGTCTGTAGCGAGGTGTATCGTGCCGCCGACTAGACACCACGTTGCACAAAGACAACGTTGACGCCCCTGGCACGCACTCGTCACTTGTATGTGCACATATTCATGCGGCTTGAAGCCTCTTTGTCGCGTTGTTGCATGGAAATTATTGGTCTGCTCAGGCCAGACTCCGCGCTTGCAGCAGTACGCATGTCAGCCCAATCTGGATCTTGTGACGAGCGCCGCTGCAACTCGATGCGGTTGCAACTGATGGCAAAACGCACTGTTGCCGCACACTTGGCCCCTTCAGCTCTGCGTCGACCTCCTAGTTCCTTTGCAAACGATGGTCAGACACGTACAGACCCCTTTGTATCGTAAGAGTCACGAGACTGAACGGTGAAGCAGTCCACCCTCAAGGCAAGTAAATGGCGGAGGACTCGCCCGCTAAGCTCGCCTTGCGACGAGAGAGCTGGAAAGTAATGCTGTCGATTGGAAGCAGCGAACTGCTCTGTATAGCATTACGGTTTGTCACAAGTCTGCGGTAGATTGTGCTCGACAAAGAGAGAAACGCTAGCCTTCTGCAAACGTCTCTCGAGACACGACGCTCTTCGCGTTGACAAGCAGATAAGCTCCCTGCCTTTTGTTCGTTGCGCTACAACACTTTTCTACAGATTACTGTAGGTCGTGTCATCCATCCCCTATCATTTCCTTCGTCTGGTGACGGCTCGGTAGGACATGTGACGAAACCACTCAGTCTCATGACCGTTTACCTGTCGATGGCGACGGTACGTCTGAGCAAAATGACGACTCGCTGCATCGTGAAGATAACACACCAAACTGCGAATGTGCAGCGACGTTATATGTGATGAAGGCTGCGTTGGGGCTCGGTCGCGCGCTCCACACGATTGGCACCATCGCACCCACCTCTGCAAACTGCGGTGGAACTGCCCTTAGCACCCTTCGTTTTACGCAGCGTGTCAGTGCAGAGCTGACATTGCAAAGACGTGCCCTCGGGGATGTGAAAGTAAGCTCGGAAAGTGCTGCATACAGTGTTCGCGTCTGTATCCTGCCGTCGAGTGGGGGCTTGACTGACTCCCTTTGACAGAACGATACGTGTTCATTCGCCCTCTTTTCCAAGGCAGCAGTTGCATTGCAGATCACCATTCGCTCTCAGCGTAAACTGTGTACGAGGATAGGGTCGAAGGCGTACAAGTGCGAGTACATGCACCAAGTACATGGTCAGTATCTGGAAGTCGCAAGCTTGATACATTCGTTACGTCTAGACTTGCCAGCCGGAAGCCGCACAAGACAAGGTCCTTGCCATGTTGTACCTATCGACAACCATCATCGTCGATAGCCACTGTAGCTGTCGCGTACTGCAGACGAGGCAGTGTGTTCAATGACGTCAAGTTCGCGGACAGTGTCCTCATAACGGCTGTACATTTGTTGCGCGAAGTCCCCAACTTCGGAAGTGAAACCATCGTCTCGAATGGGGATACCTCTGGAACTTTCATGAAGATCAGCCCCGTCACTATCAAGTTCACGAGCGTCGACACAAAAGATGTAGCGGTCAACATCAAGTCTGGAGGCGACAAGATCGACGAAGTTGGTGTGCCAGCAGGTGGGACTGTGACGTGGAAGTCGAATGTGACTGCACTAGGTGGAAAGACGCTGTACTTGAATCGCTGGCGTCAGGGCTTTTTAGGCATCCCCGATACTGCAGGCGGGTCGCTGATGTTGTGGATACCTCGATCGAGTCATGGCGGCAGTCTACAACTTACTGCAGTGGTAAACAAGAGCTGATGCGCATGCGTGGCGTCCAATTTGGCCTTGTAGGAACTGCGAGAAGAGAGTATGTATCACATTGGGATGGATAGGTGATACGTCTGAAGTGATAACAACACCTAGACGCTGACGATCGCCATGTGATCGCCGATCATCGTCGTGTAAGTAACGCACTTGGTAGTGCACCAATTGTAGACTGGACGCAACAAAACGCTGCAACAAGGTCAGAGGAGCTACGTGTTACGTTGTCAGCAAGACGTCGAGCTACTATCATCGTCCATACGCGCCACCGAAAAGCTACTACGGCGGGTGATACACACGTGTATGTACTGCACTATTCTTTGTGATGCCTGAGCTGCACCCTGTCCTCTTTGTTTGTCACCGCTCACTCTTTTTTTCTCAGGTCGATGGCCGTCAAGTAGTGAATGTTCAGGCTGACTGATGGCAGCTCGAAAACGCCATGACATTCAGGATTTGAGGCACGCAGGATGGCCGTTATGTTGAAGCGAGCACGCAGTCTCCGGATCTGGTCTTGGCCAGAATCACCCGTCCCTTTGACGCAACCCCCAGACGCTGCACTTTGTGTTCTCGGATCAGACTGGGTCGGTGTATGTACTGCCGACCGCGATCGCCAATATGTACAAATGTTTCACGGTCGTGTCGACCATGAAGTTTGACTGCAAAGAAGACGGCCGTGCCACTTGCAGCCGCCACCTAATGCCTATGCAATCGCAGATGAAGCTCTGGTAGCTTGAGGCGACCCCGTTGATGTTTTGTACTTTTTTTCGGTGCAAGCGGCGATGGAGGACGCCAAGTGGTGGTAACCTGCTTGGGACCCGTGACGTTTATTATCTATGAGAGTGAAACGGAGAGCCGGAATGCCGACAGCGGTCGTCTCCTCGACCGACGAAACAAGCAGAACACATCTGGTCAGCGTTTGTCAGTCCACACGTGTTCCAGGGGATTCCACTGAGGAAAAGCGCACTGTCCACACAGTAGTCACCGCACACAGAGCCACCCAGAGCGACTACGCACTACGACCATCACCCGCAAAATGTACGCTTGTGCATGCAGATGCTCGGACCAGTGTGCTTGTTACTCGACAACTCCATCAGTCGGCTCGATAGTGCCAAAGTCTCGGTCACTTTGTGCGCTTCACACGCAACACTTCTGCTGACATCGAAAGGATGTCGCGATCATGGGCGCCTCGATTGTAACAAGCACACACGGTGTCGTGTAATGTCTCTCGAAGATGTGATGATGCCTACAGTGATCATACCTACAAGCGTCTTCCTCTCGTGTTTGCGTGCATCTACTCTTAGCCCAGCGCACGTTGATGCGCATTCATTTGTTTTCCAGTCGATGTGGTAAGCTCGAGACGGGACTGCGATTGTAGATCGTGGCGACTTGCATTTGTTCAGCGTCGTCCGATGCCTTTGCCATAGTACATCTGAGCCCAGTGCTGATGCTTTGTCTCACCTCATCTCGTTCTTCCGGCACACACAAACATAGACCTTCCGACATTATGTGATGGCACAATGCACGTGGAGCAGAACGATCGCTTTTTCTACTTCGCGTCGAGCCGAAGCAAATAGGTCTATACGACGTACTTGGACTACAACGAGCTCATATAATGCTTGACAGCAGCAACGTCTTCAGCACGTCGCGACTCTTTGCTTGTGCTAATGTACCTGACTCAGCCCTGCCACGCCGTTTGGCCGTTGCCTCTCCCCCACCTCGAAAACACGTCGACACGTTTGCTCTCTCAGTTCCGCTCAGCAGTAAGCAAACACTTGGCCTCGCACTCCGTCCGTACAGCTGTTCTGAACCTCGAGCGACCGCTCCTTTCCCGTGACATATTCCTGGCTGAGGAAAGTCACCGAGCGAAGGGCAAAGGCCATCCGCCCCTCACTGTTGTACAGTGACTAAGAATGACGAAGCGTTTCTTCCTTCGTGAGCTCTTCGCTGCTGCTGCTCGAACAATGTTCAGCACAATAACGTCGGTCGTCCCCTTCTACACGCGTCTCTTCATGTCATTCTATCGCGCACACTCGTGTACACGGGACAATGGAATCGTCGTGAGCAGCTCAGCTCCGCCATTGTCCATGCGACGATCCATTAAAAACATCCGAGTCGAGACTGCCAAACTTGTTGATACCGTCTATCATCCGTTCATCTGACGTGCGACGACTCGAATAGACGGACACGTTGCTGCACCGCCACGTCCCGCTCATGTGCACATCACTCCGTGCCTCCCATGCAATCATACTCGTGATAGGAAGCAGCCGAAATTGCCACGGCTATGGCGACCGCCATGCGAGGACTGGCACACTTGTAGTAGGAAAAAGTACACAGGTTTCTCTACTACTGGGTCCCGAGATGGCGGAGAAGGAGAACAGGCGCGTGTGATCTTTTGTTCGTGATGGGTCGGCCTCGTTCCCGAAGGCGCCACCCACTTGAAGCGATTCGCTCGACCGCCTCAGTCTCCGACTTACCGCCACATCCACGACGTCTGCCGCGGCACCAGATGCTCCACAATGTCGTCCTCCTCCTTGTCGTCCTCTTGTTCACCGCAGCTCTTGCAAACACCTGTGAAAGCCACCAGTGCCATCGTCAATGGACAATGGCCATAGCGTCTCTGCCACTCGTTACAGTAGTCACTGCTGGCGCAGTGGCCACGTTGGACTCGTTCCAGGCGTCCCGCCATTTCGACAAGAGCGTTACCAACAGCAGTAATGACTGGTCAGGAGGCGTTCCCCGTCAAGCTCATGTGGCCGCAACAGCAACAGCAGTAGCAGATGCAGAGGATCGAGACCTACTCGACCGCGACAGTGACGACGATTCCGAGAGCTCTGACGCGGACTCTAGCGATGCGTCAGTTTCAGACTCAAGCACGGCACCTGCAGCGTCCGCCACTCTGATCGAGTCCATGAAGGCGGCTTTCATGCTCGGTAGCGTGCTCAACGCGACGAGCACAATCACACCCGCTTACAAGAACTGGGTGGGCAATGCGCTCAACACGTCGTCCTCGGCGGGCTGTTGGCGCAGAGCTCACATTGCAAAGACGTGTCCACAGGGGTACGAAAGCAAACTCGGAACGTGCTGGATGCAGTGTCCCTATTCGTATCCTGTCGAGTGTGGACTCGAGTGCATTCGACAAAACGACAGGTGTGCCCTTGCCCTCTTTTCCAAGGTGGCAGTCGTGGTGCAGACCTCCATTTCGCTCTCGGCGTGGAGTGTGTACGGCAACATGGCAAAGTGGTCAAAGGGCTTTCGACGCGCTCTCAAGTGCACCAAGTACATGATCAGTCTCACCAAGTCGCTGATCAAGTTTATAAGGTATTGGGGAGTGAAGGATCCACAAACGACGCATGACAAGGTCCTTCACTTCATGTACCAGATTGACAACGTCATTATCGACATACCTGTAGCTGTTGCGTACTGCATGGGAGGCAAGGTGTCCGATGACGTCAAGTTTGCCGACAGTGTCCTCACAACGGCCGAGTATATGCTGCGCGAAGTCCTCTACTACGGAAGTGAAATCATCTCGAATTGGGAAACCTTTGCGGGGTTCATGAAGAACATCACATTGGGAGACTCCATCGCCTCTCTGAGCGGCACGGACATCACGTCCCTCAAGTCTGCACTCAAGTCCAATGCATCCTGTGGCTACGACATGAAGCGTCTGCTGGATCGGACGTGGATGACTGTGGCAGAACTGCGTCGCACGAATCCTGCAATATCCGAAGACGACATTCGAGTGGTCATGAGTGAGTCGAATCTCGTACAGAACGACATTCCTATCGCGACGAACAACTGTATGATTGAGCTGCTTGCAGAATCCAACGAGACGGAAGCGTACGCGATACGCGACACTCTGCGCAGAACGTTTGGAGTCATCGTGGACGACTTGATCGAGTCGGGAACGAGTAGCAACGGCACTTTTCTCAGTGCTACCGAATACGCCGTAATGATCACAGATCGAGCTATCGGGTTCTGGTCAATTTGGGATCCCTTTTATCTGTCATCGCTGATGTCTGAGTACTTTGAGCCGGTGTGTAGTCCCACGGACTTCATTGGGGAGATCGATGATGGCAACGTGACCATGGCGCTAGGCATGACCGTTGTCCAAGGCGCTTTTCGACACAGTGATGGAACATGGACCAAAGTCGGCGATGGCTCCATCACTATCAAGTTCACGAGCGTCGACACAAAAGATGTGACGGTCAACATCAAGTCTGGAGGCGACAAGATCGACGAAGTTGGTGTGCCAGCAGGTGGGACTGTGACGTGGAAGTCGAATGTGACTGCACTAGGTGGAAAGACGCTGTACTTGAATCGCTGGCGTCAGGGCTTTTTAGGCATCCCCGATACTGCAGGCGGGTCGCTGATGTTGTGGATACCTCGATCGAGTCATGGCGGCAGTCTACAACTTACTGCAGTGGTAAACAAGAGCTGATGCGCACGCGCGACGCTCAGCTGGGCCTTGTAGAAACTGTGAGAAAACTATTTATGAGCTGATGTTTGATCGGGCTACTTTCCATCTCTTCACCGGACAATGGTACGTGTTGGTGTGACAAGGCACGTGCAAAGCTGTTAAATTATACCGTAGCACATTTTGTGTCAAGAGGTACTGCAGATCCGTGGCTTTGATGCCCAACATATGTGGACCGTCCAATGGATGTGTGTATAGCGTCAAAGTTGTGAACGAGGGTGGGCAGCTTGGGACCGGGCCGCTGTTTGTTGAAGACCATTGTGCCATAACGGATGCTTCGAAGTACGAATGTCACTTGCCATTTCCACCGCTGTAACGGAAGAGACGCTGCAGCTTGTGACGTCTCGATTGTCAAGATCGAAGTAAGAATGGGATTGCTGTCATTCTTCGACGCCTCTTTTTCAGAGAGTTGCTCCGGCAAGAACAAAGCATCGACAGCTTTGTACAGCCGCTTTGGTATTCCAGAGCGGCTCAACCTCTAGATGAAGTCGCCATCATTCGTGATAGTGCGTGAGGTATACTGCTGCCACCATTGCTAGTTACGAGTTTCAATGTACGGAATACATTTCTGTGCTATTGCTTTGCACTGAAAGTGCGCGCATGGGCATCTGTAATACAGCTACACTGTCTGGTGCTACCGTATTGATCAAAGCTGACCATGGACATGCGGAACTGTCATCGACCGTACTGGAAATTGCCTAAACTGAATGCACATCCAATTGCCAAGCAATGTTACAAGTGCTACTGTAAACTAACACCCCGAACAAGCCAGTAGGATGACCGTTGAACTTCGTCAAGGCAACCAGCACCGAGCTTTGATATCGATTTGACCTTCTATTCGTGTGTCTTGCATTTACTTTAGCCTCTATGATAACATTTGTCACACTACCCTACACTACAACAACTATAACACTGAACTCAACTCTCGTTAAGCCTCGCGAGAAGCTGTAAGTTGCCCCCTTGTCTTGAGCGAGGTACCCACAGCAACAAGGAGCCCTCGTCTACTCCAGGAAGACCCAAAATCCCAGGGCGCCACCGGTCTAAATAAAGCGTCTTCCCTTCCAAAGCTTTTACGGTTGAACTCCATGTGACGTTCTGACCCGCCTTAACCCTCACTTCTTTAATTTTGTCGCCTGCAGATTTGATGTTGACAGTGACGTCCTTGGCGTCAAAGCTCTGGAACGTGATAGTGACAGACCCATCACCAATTTTGGTCCAGCGCCCACCGCTCTTCTCAAAAGCCTTACCGACAGTCTTCAACCCCAGTGCTTCTTCAGCAGAGCCGTCGTCGATTTCACCGACAAACTCAGTGGGGCCGCAGATTGGCTGGAAGAACTCGAACATCGCACCGCCAATGTTCTTCTTTTCCCAAACAGCGTAAAACGATCCTACCTTGTCAGCAATGCTGTACGCGTACTGACTTGCTGTAAAAAAGGTGCCGTTGCTACTTGTTCCGGACTGGATCAAGTCTTCCATGATACCCGCAAAGCCTTTGCGCAGCGTATCTCGGGTGGCGTAAGCTTCAGGTTCGTTGAACTCGTCAATCATTTCCTTCATGCAGTTGTTCGTCACAGTGGGGATGTCATATAATGCAAGCGTCGACACGCTCAGTGCAACACGCAGGTCATCCTCCGAGATCTTTGGGTTCTTTCGACGCAACTCAGCCACCAGGATCCACGTTTGGTCCAGCATTCGTTTCAGGTCGAAGCCACAGGTCGACTCGGATTTCAACGCCTTCCGCAATGACGTAATGTCCGACTTACCCAGCGAAAGAACTACCCATCCGAGGCCGATGCTTTTCATGAAAGTCGTGAAGGCAGACCAACTGGAAGTAATGGCGGTGCCTTTGGAAATGATTTCTTTCAGTGTCAACATAATCGTGTTCACTAGCCGGTCTGCGAACTTGACGGTATCAGTCACTGTGACCCCGGTGCACGAGGCAATCATCACTGGAATATCAAAGACGACATTGTCGGTTTGATACATCATTGTCAGCAGCTTTTGGGTCGTTGTTTGCGGGGCCGACACGCGCACAGTGCGCACGTACTTGGTCAGCGACTTCACCAACCCCATCACCTCTTTGCTGCACCTGTATGCCAGCTGGATACCCGCTGCCATCAACTTGAACTTCCCGTACGCGTCATTCGTGGCGATCGAAAGAGCTGCTTGCGCTACGCCCGACACTTTGGTGATGACTTCAAGCGCACAATTGTCGTTTCGCCGGATACACTCAACCCCACACTCGATCGGGTGCCTCAGCGGGCACTGTGCCCAACACGTTCCGAGCTTGCCGTCATACCCCAGCGGACACGTCTTGGCAATGTGAACTTTTCGGTAGCACGCGGTGGCGCTTGTCGGCCGGAGGAATTTGCCAATCCAGTTGGTGTGCGTCGACGTCGTGGTGCTCGTTACGCTGAACGCGTTCCCAAAGGCAAAGCCGCCGTGCTGCGGGCGGCGGCTGTCTGAAGAGTCGCTGCTGTCGGACGAGGTGCTACTGTCGGACGAGTCGCTGCTGTCGTTGTCACTGCGCTGGAGCGTCTGACGTTTGGCTTCGATGCTGTCGGACGAGACACTGCTGTCCGAAGAGTCGCTATTGCCGACCGGCCCTGTCGTAGCATCGTCGCTGTCGAGAAATCCCCCGTGGCCCCTGACGTGACGGTTGCGGTGGATTCGCACAGTACGCGATGAGTTGGTCGCCTCGAACTTCGATGCGATACCTTTGGCCGTGGACAGAGCGCCTGTCATTGCTGCTCCGCGCACGAGCTCTCGGGTTTTCAAGAACCCAAACGACGGGAGCGAAACCGACGCCCCAAAGCTCGCGAAGTCAAGCGCTAGGACGACTACCAGTGCCAGGACGAACGGGGTCATTGGCTTTCGTTGGGAATAAATAAATATACCGCGAGCGGCAAACGCCGCGGCAGGCGCTCGAGCGTGCAAAACAAAGAATGAATCGGTGCGCGAGCAAAGCGCCGACGTTGTGTCCCTTTTACGGCGACGGTCTCGGTCACTAAACGCGGGTGACGTCCTGCTTTCGCTCGAGCCATAGAAACGCCGACGATTTGACACGTAGGGCGACTTTCGTTTTCGCTCGCAAGTGCTCGTTCGCTCGCTTGACTGACTGACTGACTGACTGACTGCTTTGTTGACGTTTGGTGAGCTCACAGATTGGCTCGAGGGTGCTGAGACTGTACGCTCCATGTGACACCACACGGTCGTGCGTAATGATAAGCCAGTGAGCCTTGAGGCAAGATCGAGTCCTGCTGCAAGTTGCAGCTACCAAGGCCCGGGTTCAGACCGCTCACATCTCATGTGACTGCTCTATGCGGCAGTCGGATGGTGGTCTAGTCTCGGCAGCTATCGCGCGACTGAATCTTCAAGGTCCACTCGCTGCTGCTCCTTGACACTGCTCGTGCTCACGCGAAGCAACGAAAGGGGAATCTCGATCGCACCTGTCCACCTGACTCTGCTACACACTTTTACTGCTCGTGTTTCTGCACGAAAGCGCTGGCGCTACACTACGGGTAGACTGTGCTAGTAGCACTGATTACCGCACACGGACTTGTTGCTCGACCTCAAAGACCCGTATCGCTAGCCTCTTCTTCCATCAAGTCCCAAGTTGATGACGGCGAGATCAGGAGATTCGTGCACATAATTTGGCGAACCCAATCGAATCGGAGCCGAATCCGACCTTCGATGAAAACAAAGTGGCAATCGCATTCAAGACATTTAATTATTTCATAGCCAATGACTTCCGGCCACGGCTTTCGTCCTCTCTTTTCCACAAAGACGAAGCTGAATCTGCCACATGGATGTACCAGCTTAGATACGTTACCACGACGTAAGCTCGAGGATTCAGCACAGCACGAAGGTGATACTCTCAGATGCTGACGCGAAGATTCACCGGCATCGAGTTGTCGGCTCGCCTGAGACGGAAGCAAAGACGAATGAAAGTACAGTACAACCGGCTGTCTTCCCCTGACACGTTTGCCGTCGACTTGTCAGAAAAATGGCCAAAGACCATCCGATGCTACGACGATAGAAGTTCCGTCTCCGCTGCTACCATTGCGACGGGAAAATGAATCTTAGCCCATAAAGTCGTGCCGCAAATCGTTACAGAGCAGTAAACGAGCTTTCCTCTGAAATCTGCGACAAGTGTTTCTGATCGCCACGTGCCAGTCATATGTGGCGTGAAGCATTGGCGACGAGTGGTCGGATCCGTCTTTGGTAAGTGGTTGGTAGAAGCAATACTCAGAGCAAGCATCTGGCACTTGACTAGTACCAACGAGCAGTAGCTGGTCCATTACTGCGTCAAGTGGCCACAGCACCAGGGTGGACCAGACATACAATCGACGGACCGACCTATACTCCTGCTCAGTCACGAGCAGGTTGTATCACATTGCTTTGCTGTGATTGCACCGGGACTGAATCCTACCTTGTAAAAGTAGGGCTTCACACTGGATTTATATGATTGCGGAAGCGCTGGGTAGGACAGACAACGACAAAGGCCTTCCCGCAATCTCGAAATTTCTATCGTATTTCTAGAAAGGTCACTCGTAGCCGAATATTTGCGACAATTAATGTTTTTATTCAGCATGCATCAATACGTCAATCAAACAGTTCGAACAACTTTGGAAATTTTGGTCAGCACAGTCACACACCAACTACTACTCTGCAAGGCCCAAAGCACAACAACGCGATATATACTGCACGGAAGGCTCATACCATTATGGTACGTTCAAAAGCAATCAATAACTGGTAAGCTTATGATGTACGATGCATAACACCGACCTGTTGTGCAATATTCGAGTTTGACAGACGTAATATACTCTAATCACAAACCCAATGGTATGAAAAGATAGGGCAATTCATTTGTAAGATGTACAGACCTCCGTCTATATAAGTTCCACCCCGTTCAGTAAACCTCTCCCCGGCAGGATATCAAATTGTGCGTCCATCGCGATCGTTCTACAGCCCCTAAGCTACAAGTTACAATCAGCGAGGTCAATAAAAAGTTCAAATTTCATCTTTAATGAATTTTAAATGTGAAGCCTACTCCATTTAACTACCAAGGGCCGTTTGGGGGTAACGCGTTGCGAATATCAAATCAAGGGGTGCGGAGGACTCTTCAAACGGCTTGACCACTTTCTGAAGACACATTGAGCAGGTATCACGAAGTACGTTGATCTTATCGATGTTGATGAACATGTCTGCGACAGGTGTCGCATCTCCTATGATTGCACCATCCTCATGTGCCTCCTTTACCTCTTTCGGAATCGTCCTCAGTCAGCATCGGCTGTGTAATGGGGTGCACTTCTTACAAGGTAACTGATAGAAGCTTGTACCGTGGCGGTACAAAGGTGTGTGCTCCCAAACGACATGTACACCGTCCTTGCAGAGTAAGTGATGAATTTGAGCAAGAGCTGCTCAGAAGAAAGGAAAGCAAAAGAGTATGTTAAATAAAGTGAAGCCCCTCAAATAACTGTCTTTTTCTTACTTCCGCAATGTTAACTACAACTTTCGAATATAGAATCTCACTCACCACATGTTGCGCGCGTCTAGCAGCAATTGTTCGCACATATGGTTGATAATATCGACCTTATCATCAAATTGTGAAAGAGAATATAGAATATTACCTTCAAAGAGAATATTCCAACAATGTTGAGTCGCAGGGTAATATTGTAAAATACTTTCAATTCAGATGATATTTACATTGGCACATTCGTACCAATGACATGACACGGGCTCACCTTGTTGCAGACTGAGCAGTCTCATCATCTCTGGCAGGATCGATGAGTATTTGAACAAATCGCTATGTGACGGCCATTTATCTTTCTTCCCGCCATATTTCGCTCTTTCTTCATAGCACTTAAAGTGACATATAGATGAGAAAAAGCCCCGTGTTTTCAGAGCACTTGGCAATGATAGCAGCCGAAGTCTCGTTCCAGGAAGCTACTGACCAGCGTATGGCAGTTATTGGGTCTACTTTGTACATGTTGTGGTATATCCACGATCATCACCATCAAACGCATGATGCAGTACGGTTGCGACGATACCGCCGCTCGATGCTGCGATGATACCGGCATCCCTCGGCTGGTTCTTGGACGTCGTTTTGGTGGAAGCATCTAGGTGTCGGCATCAGCTGACGCCCGATCATGCGTGGCATGCGATGGGGTACAGTCGATCAAACAAAGCATTTTTGGTTTCATAATGAGAAAACATCTGCAATAGTAGAATCAATAGAGGACATAGATTACTAGCGTTTGAGTGAACAGGTACCTTCGTTGGTTTGCCCACATTCGCAAGTCATTCGTGGAATAACACGCCCGTCATTCAAGTTTTGCTGTTGCGTATGATAAAGATACACAAGGAATTGGCATCACTTCTTGTTAAAGCACGTAGGCTTCTTGGTTCCTTTTCAATATAGAATAGCTGTAGCTTCCCGATACATCGGCGTTCGCAGTGAGCGCAATGGGACTCCGCGCCTACAGAGGATGTCGTCTCATATATTTTGTCAGTAAAGACAAATCGTCCATATACAATATCACGCATAGTGTCGATCTAGTGTCCTCCAATCTCTTGCTGTGCAATTAATCTGTCGGATGGCATGCAATTGAAGTCCTGCGCGTACATTTGGTCATAATGGGGTTCAGTCAAACTTAGCGAAGACCCTATCGCTACCATCTATATTGAAACATCACGCAGAGCGTTGTCGATAATGATTTTCTTCAGACCAGGCAGAGCTTTCTTCATAGATCCAATGACCCGCATTCACAGTGGATGCAAATAGCGCAGATCTTGTGGTGATGCTGAATTTTACATCCGTTCAAGCAAGAATGTAATTGCGTCTATAGATCTATCAAGCGGTTGATCCACTTATTCGGACTTCGCGCAGATGAGGTCCCCGGTAATTGTCACATCGTAGTACTGGCAATGCAGGACCTAAATGACCATATCTTCTCAGCATAGGAAGTTGAAACATCAGCTGGCCCTTTGCCACTAGGCTGCTTGAATCTATGGTCACCAGATAGTCCACTTTATGGTCTTGCTCGTTGAAAGCTGTCATGTCGTTTTAGCAAGACCTACCCTCCCCCGAGTTTGCCCATACAGTCGGTACCTTTTGAGATAAGTCTGGACCCTCATTCTTGTGATTGCACATTTGCACATTATGTCCATGTGGGATATCAATTTGTGACACCTTCCGCTGATCAGATAAATCATCAGCAGGCAAGACACTGCTAAACACTGCATACACACGAATGGCTTTCGCTATGCAAAAGCTTTTAGCACAACAAAACAGTTTATGTGCGCGTCTCTCATCTTTAGACGCGAGCTACACTGATCAGGAACTCAGGGGTGTAACTTCTTTGCCATCGTTGTGATATTTCGGCCAAGTTTCTGGCTCGATCTAGGCGAAAGCGGGGTGGCCTGGCTGCTCACTGAACCACTTTTGATCATTCAACAACTAACTTGTACTTCGTTTTACAACACAAAAAAACGATCAGGCACAAGTTTTATAAGGTGTGGAAATTGGCGTTCAACGTGCCCATAACCTTTCGGAGGAAGACCTGTACGAACGTTATATTGTTCAAGTGATTCATCGCATTTTCATGTGGTATGTTGTCAGCGCCCTGTTATTGGATTACTAACGGACTTCCGCCTGTAATTCTAACGAGCCTGACTTGCGAGAAGCATGTCATGCTTCTTGAGTGTGATAATATCACCTTATTCCTTTGGAGTATACACACGCACTATGTCATGCAAGGATCCCGCTCGGTTCGACACGTATCCATCCTTCTAGCATATCGGCAAGAGTGTGCGCTCTTTTATTAGTGGCTCCACGTCTATGCCAGTCTCATCCTCCAAACGCT